ACGCCTGGCCGCTTCAAGAATCAATGACTATTTCCACATACTAAAACGAGACTTTTCAGTGTGCTTTTTTCTCACTCGCACACTTCTCGGGAAAACTTTCCTGGAGGTCACCCATCCCAGAATTGCTCCAAGTCAAGCACGCTTAACTGTGGAGTTCTTCTGATTTGGGCTACCGAAAAGCAGATGCATCTTGTTAGCATAGGTAGTACCAATTAATTCTTATAAACTATCCCAAACTGTGCAGTCTTATACCTGCACAGCCTTTGGAATCCTTCTCTTTCGAGTGTCTATTCGATTCATTCGTGCATGTAACCCCCACTGGAAGCCTGTTAGGAGCCGCTCCTTGTCCATGCCCTTTCGCACCGGCGATCACTCCTCGCCCTCGTCAACTCTTGGGATGTTACACGACTCAACATGACAACTATAAAGGCTATGTCAGGTCTAGTGCAACTTGTAGCATACATGAGACTACCAATCAATTTTGAATACTTTAATTGATCCACGTTGGTCTCTTCATGAGGACTCAATCTTTTATTATAATCACATGGTGTCTACTCAGTTTGCACTCATTGTATCCTTAGGCAGAAAATAGCTGCTCAATATAATGAGTCTGGCTATGGGAAATTACTTGCCTTTCAAAGCTTACTTTCATACCAAGAATGGTATTAGTAATACCAAGATCTTTCATGTAATGTTTTAGCTAAATTAGATTTCATGTCACTCACTACAGAATGATCAGAGCCAAGAATTAACATGTCATATGTTGCGTAAAATCGGCAAGTGTACCGATCGTACCAAGTAATAAAAATGATGAGTAGAGTATCGTCTCCACGAGGATTGAGGCACCTAAGTTATTATAACTATTCCTCTCTTGTTGGATTAATAAAAATGGTTTAAGGACAGTTGTGGTTTATGAAATAAACGAAAACAATTAAAGAAAATGTAAATGATTCCAAAAGTCTTTTAGAATTCAAGAACACGGAATAAAGGTTTGGAAAATATTTGAGGAAATATTGCGGTAAAGAGACGCCAACACCTTTATGATCCCCACCTTGTAACTTGAATTAACGTTTACATTCAATTATGCAATTGATCAAACGATTCACTATCTTTTATTTAATTGGTTAAGCCTTAATTCCTTAATGATCTTAACCTTATCAACCCTATTAGAATCATAATCCCTTAGAAATCCCTTTTTAAGTTGAGCCTTCAAATCAATGAATCTTTCACATTTGCGGTTCATGTAGCCTATCCCTAGTGCATACATGAACAGTTATCTTACCTCTTGTCAGGAATTAGAATTCTAATATTCCTATTGAAAACCCTAACCCTCGCAATCCTAAAAGATTATCAGTTCTAGAAGAATTATAAGATGAAGAACAAGGTAAAATAAACTCAATTAACATAGATGACTATAAATTTAACCAAACTACAAGGGGTTCACATCAAGGGTTGTGACCCTTACCACAATGATAGAACTAGCCAGACATATTCATGTCTGACAATATAATCATAAAAGAAAATAAAATTAAGAACCTAAAGAAGAGAAAGAAGATGAAGATCTTCCGTTTTGATCGCTCGAATCTTCGAAACTCCAAGAAGCTCCCAAGAATTCTCCCTCTCTTTGTTGTTTTTCTCTTCCTTGTTGTCAAAAAGTTCCTTCTTCCTCTGTTTCTGATCCTTTTCTTAGGTTTTGGGAAAACCTACTTTCAATTGCTCTCAAATTGGGCCTCCTTTTTGAGTAATTTGCATCAGATTAGAGTTAAAAAGTATCGCCCACGCACTTTGCGACAAGTCTGGCGCACTTTGCATGAGAAAATAGAACTGAAGCTGTCAAACGGCGCACCGTGCGCCAGGTCTCGCGCACCGTGCGCCAGGATATAGGGACGATTTGCATAAAATGGCGCACCATGCGCCAGGTCCCGCGCACCGTGCGCCAGCTGGAAAATTGAACTTCTCTATTTTGCTTCCTTTTGTGGCGTTTCCTTCTATTAAAACACATAAATTGAGTGAGAGAATGATTGAGAAGGAATAATCAATATTTCTTGCATTTATGACTTATTTTCACACATTTATGATTAATTCCTTGCTTCTTTTAAGTTAGAAAGCATCATATGCTAGACGCACATCACATGCCAAATTGAACATGTAATTTCCAACCATAAAATTCAATAAGATCAAATCATTGAAGCTTTAATAATATCATAGGAACTACGTTTAGCCAATTTTAATCAGAGCTAAAAGTTAGAAAGAGTGAACCTTGTAGTTCACTTCTAAGACTCTAATTTTTGTCAAACCACTCTATAGAGTTGGAATTTGCCAAAACAAACCCCATTAAGAGATTCGGAGCGCCCAAAAATCTTAAGATGGACTATCCCTGTTGTTGGAAACTCACCAAAATATTTCCCGATTATTAAAATTTGTAGGAAAATGCACCGGGAACTTCAGATTGCCATATCTCATTCGTCCGATCTCCGTTTAAGGTGAGTGACTCAAAACAAATTTCTTGATGAGTAGAACAAATCCCAATAGATTTCACTTCCTGAAACTGGGTAAAATTTCTGGGATCTAGATCGAGAGGTTGCAGTTGCAGTATTTTCAAACTTAGATATTGGAAAATCCTTCCGTCGAATCGCGAAAGAGATTTAAAATATGAGTTCCCTCGATGAGATCTTCGAATAGACACCTTACTCGCTCAAATCTGACACATGAAGCTAATACTTCAAGATTTTTGGAGGTAACGAGTTTGAGATAGAAGGGTTTTGATGTGCTTGAAGTATTATACCAATAGACATCAACTTTGAAATGTTCAACAATGTTACCTCCATATCAGGAAACTCTAGAGATAATGCAAGTTGTTGGTCGTAGATGAACTCAAGAGGGGGTGAATTAAATTTTATAAAATAATTTTTTAATTAAAAAATTAACTCAAAACAATAATTCAAGATAAGGATAGAGAGATATTGACATAGTACTTTTTAGTGGAAAACCCAAAAGGGAGATATCGGATACTGAAATTCGACGGGCAACTCCACTATGAAACTTGCGTACATGAGTTCTCTAGTATCCTAGTTTCCTAGTCTACCCCTTACACAAATTCTCAACTGGTATCATAGTTTTTCAGTATGAAATCCTAACCCTTTAGGATTTCAAAACCCTATCACACAAGGGTTCTCAAGTCACTCTCAATTTCCAAATAAAAGAGATATGCTGGTATCCCACTTTCCCAACGCAAGAACTACAGTATCTAAGTTTCCCATACAGACCTTAAAAGAAGGTCAAGAAGAATTTTACAATTAAAATAATTTATCTCAATGCTTCTTTTCCTCAAGCAGATAAATATTTTGAATTCCTATGGAGAAATATTCACTTTGCCAAAATATGAATGTATGAATGATTGTTCTTGAGAAAACTCTTCAATTGACGCACAAGAAAGAATACTAATCTTAAAAATCTAATTCTCTCTCTTATATTTTCTCCTTTCTCTCTCTTGTATTTTATCTCTTCTCTTTATTGTATTTTCTCTCTTCTCTCTCTTGTATTTTCTCTCTTCTCATGAATAATATGCAATGAACTCTATTTATAATAATAACACTTTCTATCTCCTAAAAGCCCAAAAGATATAATTTTAAAATTTGAAATCTTTTTCTCAAACTAACCAGAAATCTTTTACCAAAAACTAAATTTTAAATGCAATTTTCAAAAATAAGATTTTTGATTTTTTCAAATAAAAATATAAAGTATTAAATATCTTATTCTATTATGCAATGCAATCCTAATCTAAATCTTTGGCAAAAAATATTTTATTTCTCTTACATGAAATCTAAAAAGATAAAATATATCCTAAACTTTACTTGATTCCATATTTTTTTTTCTCTCTTCATGATTTTTTCTATATCTTCTCCAATATTCATGCAATCTTCAATTATCTTGAATACTATTTATATTAGAATAAATATTATTCTGAAATTTCAATAATCAGCTCATTAGTAATTTCAAGACAATAAATTATTATCAATTTAATTAATATTAAATTGATTGTAATAATCAAAACATATTTTAAATTAATTAATCAATTGGAGTATAACAAATATCCAACACAAGCTATTGGGCTCTAGCCCATATGAACTCAAATAAGTGAATAATCATGTTTTAGTGTATTGGACTTGTATGTGAACATACTATTGAACTATAATATTAATATATCCAACATAAGTTTCTGTTATAAAGGCTCAGAAGTATATAAATGACAGGAACTTTTTATTACTAGTGTTAGTTTTTATTAGTACACATTTTGAAGATAACTTGGTGTAAATTTTAATAAAGTTAAATCAATATTCGAGTTGAAGTGTTGTGTGTGTATTTTTGTTTACGTTATCTTTCACAAGTCACAATGTAGAATAATAATCAAATTGAAGTGGAGATTCATGCTACCATATCAAAGAACCAAAACTACACAAGCCTTTGAGATAGTCCGAAAGGTGCTTCCCATTATTTCATAGCTTTAACCAGGGGTTACAATTTTCACATTGGAATTGTAACATTATTTTATTTGAGATATAGATAATATTTTATTTTAGTTTATAATATTTGTTTTATATATTTCAACACGTCTTCTCATACGAGAGTCTATTGGACTTGAAGGGTGGGCAATGCACATGCCCATCTACCTATGCGAAGAAAGAAATTTCACTTGAAAAAAAGTGGGGGGCAGTGATGATCGAACTCAGTACACCGAGGCTCTGATACTAAGTAAAATAACAACAATAAATCAACGAAGAAGAAGAAAACATAGCCGGAAGAAACTAAGAGAAGCAGAGAGAGGGTAAGAGAGAAAGGGAACGGACGGAAAAGCCAATCTCTCACGGAGGGTAATATCTCTCTACTACCATATTAAAATTACGAAAAAAAAGTAAGGAAAGACAGACAAGGATTCCTCTCGTTAGACTCTGATACCATGTAAAATAACAAGAGACGAGAGGAATATTGAAATACATCTGTATATTGAATTAATTTAGGAGAGTACAATATATAAAGAAACACTAACAAGCTTAATCCAGACCTAACCTAAATCCTAATGAAATAAGAAAATAGATTTTTATAAATAATAAAAATATTCTAAAATATTCTTTGCGAATTAAATTTGAAAGATATTTAACTTAGCCTTAGCATTTCAGTTCCTTACAGTGAGGAAGAGCTTTGTGGTGTTTCCAAAGCCTGATTTCCAGCCATGGTATCTGAAGTGCTTCCTTGTTTGAGCTCCAAAGAGAATTCTTCTACACCCTCTATATGAGCTGAATTTGAGGCTTGTCTTTGATTAGTGCTTTCTTCATTGTATATACAGTTTGCTATGGTGTCACGGATCTTCTTCCAAACAGTCTCAATAGCTGAACAACCATGGTCTCCTTCAAATGCCTCTTGATGCTGCTGATTCTTTTTCATTGACAGTACCATGGAAATTATCACACAAAAGGTAGAAGTGAGTACAGAAGCTGCAAAAAGAACCCAGAAGCTTTGAAGCTTTAAACTTCCGTTGGCATTGGTAGTTATATTGGTTGAACACTCATCTGGGTTGTTCAACCATTTATCTTCTAGTGACTTCAAGTCTCCATTCTCTGAGAGCTGCAATATAGCTTTGGAAAAGTCTCTAGTAATTGGAGAACCTTTCTGGAACATCTGCATATAGAGAAATGGAATATTTAACCTTAGTTCCAAGTTCATTGAAATATTTAACTTCAATGAAGGAGAGCAATTTTTCACAAAATATGGGTGAACCTGATAGGAGTAGAATTATAAAATGTAAGGAAAAAGATTGAATATAAGTAACATAACTGGATAAGTTAACTGGTTTAGTACATTGGCATTTTTTTTTACCTATTCTCCTCCATTGTTTCCCATTTCATATTCATCAGGAATATCCTAAAACTTGATATTTGAAGTTCAAATATAACTTTCAAGCCTTAAAATAAGGTGCCTGCCTGCTCTACATATGTCCATAATCATATTATATGATTTTATCATGTTCAAATAAAACTATCATTGATTTTCAGTTTCCATTTAGAAAAGAAGCCAAATAGAGTTCTAATTTCCAAAATAAGTTTCTGTTATCACTTACAAAGGCCAAGCCCTCCAAATCTGTTGGTAGGTGGGAAGGCAGAATATCCCTGGCAGTTCATGCTGATGAATACCTTTTCATAAGGGATTTCAATAAAGGCAGCTGCAATGCGCTTGCTTTTGAATTCCTCAGTGTAATTGTAATTTCTACTAACTTTGATAATGTTCTGTGATTTGAAATGAAGAACGTTTTCCAGATATTTTCTCACAAAAGGATCACCTGAGAAACCAATTTTGGAGTTGCTCCTTTTTAGTGACTCAATGTTTTTAACTTTTGGTTGCAATTGTTGAACTGTGAGCATTGAGGATAGATTAGCTGTGTAGCTAGAGGTTATGATCAAACCAAGGAAGAGCCACATAACAATCACCATTTGAGTGAAGTTGCTATAGATTTTCTCCCCTGCAAGAGGAAACTTGGTTATTCATAAGTAAATGTTTCCATAATTAAGCTTAATCTTAGTTTTCCGTAAGTAGTAAATGGCTTTATAATGTTTGCAATATTCCGTACTTTGTGCAAAGAATAGAGAAAAGACAGTAAACCATAGAGCAATGTTAATCTGAGTCTTCCATGGACCACTGAATTCTGGATTGGAATCCCGCTCCAAGTACCAAACTGTGAACATGGTGCAGACCAGGATGCAAACAATAGCCATCCACATTTCCCACGTAAAGGGCTTCATAAAAATCAAAGCTGTGTCCTCAGATTTTGCTGGAACTATCATTGACAATCCTGACTCTGCATATGGCAGTGTAAAATCCACGTATTGCATTCTGTCAGCCACAATGGTTATGTCACCAACAACAGCATCCAAAGTCTCCAATCATTTTTTTCCATCCAAATGGAAGGATTGTCAGTAAAGGTGTTTCCATAACAATATTGAACAAATAATTAAGAGAGGGAGAGAGTTTAGGCCTTAAGGGTAATAATTAAGAATATCCTTCAATGTTCTCTCTGAGGTATTAAAAAAAAGGCATTAGAAAGAAATGAAGGGATAGAAGTAGTTACCTTGTTGTAGACAAGAAAAACCAGATCAGTATAGGTTCCATTAAAGGGAACTATTTCATATGGTAGGTCATACTGCAATTGATCTAGAACCTTATCAAAAATTTCAATGCAGAATCCACTATATTTTGTCTGATTTGAGTTTTCATTGTATTCAACCCTCACAAACTTCTCAAATGGAGTCCATCTTGGAACACCAATTTTCAATGGTTTTTCTCTTCTAGGCATTCTCCAACCCCTTGGAGCCCTCATTAAATTCCCAGGCCAAATTATTGGACCTCCCAAACCTTCTATTGTACTTGAGACCTTATTAATTTTAGCTTTTTGACCAGCTAACTCAAAGGAAAGGGTCTTGGAGAATCCATACTCTTCTGTCCAAAAGTCTATTTCTTTATAACTCTTTCCAATCACACTTACTACCCTAAGTATAGGAGAAGGCAAAGTTTGCCCTTTTTCAAATCTTATTTTTCCACTTAAGCCAAGGAAATTGCAAGACAGCATTTCTTTTAGAAATATCTTAGTGCTACTCGTAGTATGATTTCTTAATTTCTCAATGGCACGTGTGGCAACTGAAATGCTATCATATGCTTGAAGTGCATAAAATCCTGGTTGGGGATTATCTTCTTCTGGATTTTCTTTCTGAAAGCTTTTTCTGAACTGAACTTGGAAACTCTGATAATCAGTACTACTCTGCAAGTAATAAGTCTTGATTCCCAAAACACCTTCCATGGAGGAAATGACAGAGTCACTAACAGAGTCTAGCATATAAGTTATGCTTTCTGGAACTATCCAAGCTGTTTCCATATCCACAAGTGCCATCTTTTTAGCTTCAGCAAACAAACAAGTTACCATTGGTAGTGATGATTGTAGAACAATGAAGACACGGGATTGAGTGTTAAGCAGCTTCAGCAGCTCTACCTGAACTACCCCATCTGGATGAGACAAAGAAGAATATGGAGGGAGAGCCAAAGAGAGCTCAATCTGTGAACCAACATTTTGGATTTCCTGAGATAGAAGTGCTAACATTCCATAATCACCACCATATGGATCATCTTCATAGATCACTATAACTCTTTGCCAATTGTATGCATGAACTACATCACAAATGCATTTTATGTATGCAGTACGATTGTTAGCCATTTGTACTAAGAAAGGCCAACGAAATGATGACAGTGGAGGTGTGATGATTGGTGTAGCAAATGAAATAACAGGAACTTGAGCTTGATTTCCAACCTCAGCTACCAGAACTGCTTCCTGCCATGAGTGCATGCCAATTATCACTTTCACTTTCTTTATTTTAATCATCTCTTCAGCTGCATACAAAATTCTGATGTCACTATAGACCATTCTAACAAGGAAAGATCACTGTCCAGAGATAATATAAACCTTTTAAAGTGAAAACTAACCGATAGAAATAGCTTTCAGGGCCATCCCTTTGGAGTCCTTGAAATGTAGAGACAGTTTGTGGTGGTACTTTGAACTGTTGTTGTAGTTTTGAGCTGCAAGTTCAATAGCTACTTTCTCTTCTTTCCCAGAACGAGAGCTAAGGTCAATGATTACACCAATGGAAAAAACTATGTCATCGTTGGAGGCCTTAGCTCCAAAGAGAATGAAGGAAAAGAAGAATATGAGGGCAAGAAGGAAGTGCCAAACAATGGAAACTTTGGACTTTGTAGTGGAAAGGGAAGACATATCTCACAAAAATATGGTACGCACAACGACTTAAACAAGTGAGTGCCAAAAAATAGTCCTCTTTCCAAAGACACCTGACACGTTGAATTGTAACTTATAATAGTCACTGAAGTGCTTGTGTGGCTGTTAATTCTCAAAGATTGATCCATTCACACTGCAGGTCACTATCTACATTTCCTAAGGGATACGAAAGTTGAAACTTCTTGGGAAACTACACTGAGTGCACGTTGCATGCGAAATATGGGCTCATGGTCTTGCAAAATAACCACATGGCTCAACCCTGTATCAATTATAGGGTTCTCGGTTCATGAAAAATTATAATCATACAAAGGTGGATTAATAGTAATAAAAAATAAATAAAAAATATTATTAAAATAGATAATTATAAAATCATAACCATTATTTATTTTTGTATGATTGTGATCTTTTCACGTAATTTTGTTATGTTTTTTTCGCAAGAGAGGATCCGTTTCCCAATTTTTATTTTAAACACCATTCAGAATTAAAAAGAAAAGTAAGGTAACATTAGTTCGTCCCCTCAAGCTCCATCTTCAATTTTTGTCATTATTATTCTTCACATGCAAAGAAAATTTTGAGACTTTTCAAATCTGACATGATCCTGAGTCATTACAGTTGTTTGTGTGAATTCTATTTCCTTGACCCCTCTCACATAATTTCATGGCGCTGCTCATTGGTATCGATGTGAACACTAGGATTTATTTGTCAAAGCTGGTAGAAAGCTAAAAAGGTAAAACTTAAAGGGCAAAGTAAAAATGAAGATGTCTTTAATTTATTAATATTTAAAAAACTAATATTTTGAAAATTGGATTAAATTTAAGAGTTTAATTAGGCAAAGAAAATAATAAAAATTTAGTCTCATAATAACCTTTGTCTTAACAGGTTTTTTTGAGTTGATTTTGTAAAACTAATAATCATAAAATAAAAAAAAATTAAATATAAAATCATTTCATAAGTTATTTAATTTTTTAATAGTTGATTATGAGAACAAAGGATTTATGATTAGGCATAATCAACTACTATTAATCTCAAACTAATAAATAGATTAGGTAAAAGATAGGCATAGTCAACTATTATTAATCTCAAACTAATAATCTAAGTTAAAAAATAAAGAAAATAAACCACCCAAATCTATAAAACAACTAAGTGTAATTGGACCTCTGGGAGGGGTTTAAAACCTTAATCTTGAACCCGTCCCGAATCGGACTAGTTGCGAAGCAATGAATCGATTGGAATATTTTTAAAAAAAACTCTAATTGAACCAACCCAACAATTTAAATATATTTTTATTTCTTCAATTTTGCTTCTTTTTTTTCATTTTCTAATCGTATTTACTTCTTTTTTTAATTATTTAATGTTTCATTATTTTAAATTCTTTTAACTGAAATACTTAGACCATGAAACTAAAATTTAAAGACAAAAGGAAAAACTGTATGAGAACAAAATCAAATAAGAAGGCAGAATGTGTCTAATCCAGGCTTTTTGGTTACTGTAGCCTTTAATTAATAAAAATTATCATGTTGCCCCTATTTATTAACTATTAAAAAAATTTAACATTTTCACCAGACATAACACCAATCTGCCCTTGTTTGACTATTGACTACATATTTACCCGAGTACTGACCCATTTACTCGGATATATATTGCGGATAATTAGTGTTCTTATGTAATTTGAGTTTTTACCCGAGTATATACCTAGATACCTGGGTATATAGTTAAATACCCAGGTACACACCTAGATATCCGGGTAATCGTCGGCCAGAAACCCCAATATTATGGGTTTCGGCCTCTTTGATCATTTATACCTTTTGTACCCCCAAATCTCTCTCTCCTTTCTCATCTCTATTATGAGGCATCAAGATTGTATTTCATCCCACATCTCAAAATGCCTTATTGTGAAATCATTGGGATTACGCCTACATATTCATATTTTTTTTCTCAAAAATCCGAACCAAACCCAAACCCTAGATCCAATTTCGTGTGAAAGATGAGTTCAAGTTCAAACATGTATCCTGTAGTTATTTACCACAATAAGAGTCAATTTGAAGGTCCCGATGGTTTCTGATTTGAAGGAAAAATAAAAACAATGAAAATAAAAGTGGGCATTATATAATATCCCTAACCTGATTAAATAGTAAATTACATGTAATTAAGTAATTTAGCATGTATTGTGTAACGCCCCGTCTGCAGCCGGTCAATTAACATTCATATGATAGTAAGCGCAGCATGCTCAACTTAATTAATGCGGAAGCTAACTGAATAAATTTTTCTCTTTTTCCTTATGTATTGCAAACTTTTTCACTTCCATGGCTAAAATAAAACGGACAACATTTCCTCTGTATTTTGGACCTCTGGGGATAATTCCCACTATGATAATTTCAACTTGATTGACAACTTAATATAACTCAGGCATACCACAGCATAGATAAATCATATTGCCAAGCCATCCATGGCCTAGGCTATCTCATAATCATACTATCTCAAAATAATGTTCATGATGTTACTTATATAATTACATCAAATAAAAAAAGAGATGCAATTAAATAAGTAACATAGACCTAAGCATGCATCACTAATAGTATATACAGATTATCAACATGGCATAGACATCTCCTATGCTCTCAAAAAATACATGGCACATACAACCCAAAATAAGGTATGTCAGGTACAAATCTAAATATCCGTAAGACCCTAACAATCATGTCAAGTAGTATCTCTCATCTGGCCTCTTGCCACGCGATGCCTCAGCACCATCAGCTCCTGTACCTGAAATGGTAATCCCCATAACGCGGGGTGAGATAATATAATTACCTCAGTAAGCTAGGGACCCTTGGAGGGCTCCTCCACCCCTAAGCTCACTTCTGGTATAATAACAGTATAAAAATCCATGCATGCATCAGAATATGTATGACAATGCAGTGTGCAATAATGTAATCCTACTGGCCAGAGAATATAAACACCGTCTTGCAGCATACCGTATGAGGAAACACCATCTCATACTATGCATAAGGAAACACCGTCTTATGCCTCACACAAGGAAACACTGTCTTGTGTGGCACACAAGCATACATACATATACATGCAACATATAATATCATTTTCACATACCATATCAAACTACCATCCTCCCTCGGAGTCTGGTGGAACAAACGGGAGATTAACCCCAAGGACCGAAAGCTTACCTGGCAAGCAGTGTCCTCTACTAATTCTCGTGTCCACAGCGTCACGATCTCTCACAAAGTCACAACCTAGTTCCAAGATGTGAAGACAATCAGTATTCCTATATACCAGTCTATCACGCTTAATTTTCAAGCGTACACATACAAGAAACCTACACTTGATTTTTAGTCCAATTTATCAAAGTGTCCTAAACGGTCATTTCATAATTTTTCCTTTTACGGGAACCAATCCCAAACATATTTAACAAAGGAACTCACCTACAAATCACCCTCCAACTACTCATACCATTTAATCCCAATTTATACAACCCTATATCATGCATTTTCTCCAAAAACACAAGAGGGGAGTTAGGGCATTTACCTTAGAAGCTTTAAATCACTAAGAGAAAGACAATCCAAGCTTCCAACCCTTCCTCAAGCCTTAAATCCGAAAATGGCAGCCATGGGTCCTTCAAAATATGTTTCTCTCTCATCCAAATGTAGCTACCAAGTTGAATGGATGAGGAAGAGGAAGGAGAACAAGATGGAGAGAAGGAATGAGAGTGATCTCTTTGATTTCCTTAAGGATTTGCTTGGAATAATATGGAAGAAGAAAAGAAAAATAAAAAAAAAAGAACTTCTTCGGTCACACAGAGACCATCGCACGAGAGAGAAAGAAAAGAATGAAGGAAATGAAGTGGTTTGGGGCTTTAAGTGACTTTTATAATTAACTGGGTATAAGTTTATCTATCTCTCTCACTTAACTCTCATTCTAACTTTAACCATTAGTCCAGAATATTTTTATGGTAATATTTATAATTTTACTTTTCACTTTAGGGTAACTTTATTTACCCGCATTTTTACTCCTTAACTGTCATTTTAACTCCTTTTTTTACCAAATGTGACTTTATTTCTTTTTCTTCTACTTTCCTTATAATTATTCTTCAATTTCATGATTAAAATCATTACTTCATAATTAAATCCAACACTACATGTGAGGGTTATTATATATTGGTGGGTTGAAATAAGTAAAAGGCCTAATTAAATTAATTAGGGTCACGTTTGAGGTAAAAAGTGCAGTCAGTGAGAATTAAGAGGTATAAATGAGTGTAGGAAAAAAGATCCAAAATATAAAAGTAAAAGTAAAAATATTTCTGAAAAAATATTCCAGACCTTCCGGTAAAGTTTGAAAGTGAATGGAGGTGACTAGATAGACTTTTACCCGGTGAAAATAACTTAACTATAATAAGTTGTAAAACATAACAACACACCCCATTTTTCTTATTCTTCTTCGTTGAGGGCTGAGAGTGAGGAAGAGAGAAAGCCATTTCCACCTCATACCCTAACTTCCTTAATTCTCCACCAAACCAAACCATTCCAAAGTCAATCTTGCTTCAAATCTTCCTCTCTTTGTGAATCCAAGCTTGGTTTTGAGTGGAAAGCATTGTGGAGTGAGATTTCTTCTTTCCAAAATTCGACCCATTTGGTGATTGGAGGAGTTTGAGAGCATTTCCTTCCATGGGAGCTTAAGAGACCTTCATTATTTGGTTTTGTGACCTTGTGTGGTAAGTTTTCACTCCTTAACATTCATTTCCATGGAGATTGCATGAGGTTGAAGATAATGAATAGTGGTTTTGTGGGTTTTATGAGTTTCAGTTTGATTTAGGCTTAACTCCTTTGTAAATGTTGTTAAGGATGATAAATAAACGTAGAAGTGAAGTTAGATAGTCATTTGATTATACTATGAAAATTGCAAGAATCTATGCTTGGTTTGTGGATTTTCTTGCATTTGTAAGCAATGGTTTGGTTGGATATTGATTGTGTC